CAAGACAGCTTTAGCCAAAGATGTTCTTGATCTGCTTAACGGTAGCTTCCCTGCTATTATTGTCCTCTATGCCCAGTGGTGTCCCACCAACAAGACAGACAAGTACGACTCTACCGTGGACAACTGGTTCAAGCAGTTCAGAGATCTTCAAAACGACTGGAGCAACCACACTCTTTTGATCAATGAATTTGATGAGGGTATGGACACCATGACTGGAAAGTGGATCTTCCCTAAGCGTCGAGAGTTTGAGCTCCCCTATGTCAAGCGCACCTACGCTACAAAGTCGCAGACTCTCCAGAAGGACGGCTGGGTTGATGCTGTAGTCAAGCGCCTAGACTTGATCTACAATCCTCATCAGAAGCTTGACAATGACAAGAGCGATAAAGAAGGAGAAGTATACGATCACTGCAAGCTCTCAGTGCAGATCCAATGCTTCGGCGGTAAGAACTCGCGCTTCTTGCTCAACAAGGATAACGGAACGTCCTACAGTTGGCGAGACTCCACAGTCGTCCAAACACTCGACTGTTTCCACGACCCTGGTGCAAAGTTCAGGGAGTATGCTCTCAACTGGCAGAAGACCAACGATACTATCATGATTGGACCAAAGAGCCCCTTCAGCAAGCAGGATCGCCGTGTGCTCTGGGGTTCCTGGGGAGACTGGGATATGAGTAAGCCCGAGATTTGGCAAGCATACTATGAGGATGCGGACAAGTATAAGAGACTTGGCAAGGCTAGGGCCAAGGCTGACCCGAATGGAACCTTTACGGCGAACCCGTTTGCTGTCGCTGCTGTGCGCGATAGTACGAAATAGTCAATTCCACACCGAATAGGAAAGAAATATGAATCGCAATGGAAGTATCCATATGTTTGAGACAATTTCATCGACTCTCTGCCGTCTGTAAAACACTGTGGCCGCCAACATCGTAACATGAAAAAAAGGTCTGACTTAGTGTTGACCCATACAAGCGCATTGATACTGGTAATCTCGGTGAAAGGACGTCATGATTGTTCCGGCCCCATAGCATACACAGCAAGGGCACTGTCGCCGTCCGTACGTGTGCTGGTATACAAAGCATCTCGCTGTGTGGCCACCCGGGGGGCAATGCGACCAAGTCTGTGGACATTGCACACTTTGCTGCCAGTAATGCCGACGCGTGTATACGCCTGCACCGTGGCATATCGGGCAATCTTGTTGAGGCGGCATTTACGCTTCGTGAGAACGAGGGGTATGTATGTTTCCTTTGACGGTAATGTTTAATCAATAAGACCTAGTATAAGTGAGAGTGGTTAAGATTGCTTGCTTGCACTTATAGTACTATGTTTCAAGGGAAAATGGGTGACCAAAAGTTTCCGAGAAAGAAATCCGGCTTTATGTACCGAGAGCAAGTCGGTGAATCAGTGATATGTGCTTGCATTTGATCATGAGTTCGACCTCAGATAGTGAAGACGACTCAGATATGTGAATCAGTGGCGTCAATGCAGAACAATGTGCTATCCTCACCTGGCAGGGCCAGCATACGACGATTCAACAGACAGGATCTACGGCAGACAAATTCACTGTCAGATCGTAATGACTTATTATTCGCTTGGCAGCAAGTAATGATCTAGATGTGTTATTGCTAGTTTCATTGAGATCTCAAGATCATACGAGCGATTTCCATAGCTCCTCTATAATATTTTACCTTGCCTTTGAGTGTGTGTAGCAGTTATCCATTGGGAAGACTTGAACAATGCAAGGATTATAGAGGTGCTACGAGACTCCTATTGTATATTAGCAGCCAGTTACGTCATTTTCAGAGTGAAATATAATTCTGTAGGCTTGGTAAATGCCTTTCGTTCCTTGTTCCTTGGCCCAAAAGATGTTGAACTAAAGGTGAGTCATCGGCAACCCCGGAATCGTCAGGTGGGCCCCGATTGGAGTATAAGAAAGCCCAAGCCTGACTCTGAACCGAGGTTTAGCTGTCTTCATTCAAATTCGCTACCAACAAAATGTCAGCTCCCATCGCATCCGCTCACCTTCGCGTGGCCCGCCCAACAAACAACATCGATGCCCTTCTGCCCTTCTACGTCAACGGTCTAGGATTCAAGAAAATCGGCGAATTTCATGACCATGATGGCTTCGATGGGCTAATGCTCGGTCATGAGGGCGCAGGCTATCATCTTGAGTTCACCGCGAAGCGTGGGCATGACGCCGGTAGATCACCTACGCAGGACAATCTCATGATTTTCTACCTGCCCGAGAAAGAGAAATTCGATGATGCAGTTGCGCGGATGGAGAAAGCGGGCATTGTTTCTGTCACGAGCTTTAATTCGTATTGGGATCAGTGCGGAAAGACCTTTGAGGACGCTGACGGGTATCGCGTGGTGTTGGCAAATATGAAGTGGAATTTGTGAAGCGACATGTGAGCTGCCTCACAACTTCTATATCGCAGGCTATATCATCTTCAGCGACAAGGACCGAGCTCGAGCTTCACATCACTTGTTTTGCCCTTGTAGACCAGCTACGATAAATCTAATATACACAAGAAATAAGATACCATCAAAACCCATCCCCGGCATATTCTTGACATTTGTCCGATGGGGTCTCAGCTATTTGATAAGTGTTTTTCCCACTCAACTTTCTAGTTCACACTGGAGTGATGCTTACGGCCCTTATGCTTGCGGCTCTTCGGTCTCCTTGGACGGCATCCCTTTCCTGGCTGTTCCGTAATTTGAGGAATTGCTGCGGTAGCTGTCATAGAAGAATGATGGGTGTTTACGGCAGATGGCGTTACTATAGCGGTCTCGGCGCCCTCATCAGCTGTTGCGGTCTTTGATCCAGAGGCAGTATGGACTGTCGCTAGAGTTGTTGACGATAGGCGACTCTCTGATGTCGTTGCAGCTGGTTTGGGGCCAGCAGCAGAGGACTTGGCAGCTTGGATGTCAGATTCGTCCAGATGATGGAGAAGAGAGCCCCAGCCAAGTCCATCATAGTGGCCAGAACCCTCTCCCCAAGATCCGGCCCCGCCCTCAAATCCACCGAAAAACTCCAAGGAGTTGTTCAGGTATGCTTTTGTCCAAGGAGCGTCAAGGCCTTTGATGTTGACGTAGTGACTATAGAGTAGCTCCCAAGCAGGTCGAACCGCACCTCGAGAGGCTTCGCTGATGACATCGAAGGAGACTATGCCGTTTGTGTAGGGCTCGAAGGGTACATCATTTCCAAGATTGTATCGAGCAAAGTACTCAGCTCTGTATGCAGAAGTTAGTTCAGAAGGCCTTATCACAGCCGGTTAAAATAGCAATGGGCTCACGAACCCAAGTAGAATGCGGCTGTTGTTGTAGGCAAAGAGATCCTCGCCCTGGTTCCATGCCTGCTGCCCAATGGCGCCTAGCACCTGGAAGTTCATCGCGGAATGACCCTGGTCTCGACCAGATTCTTGCCCTTGGCCAATTGCTTTGCCTGTACCAGGTTCCTCAACGATGTTTGAGATACCATTATTGATAGCACCATTGCCTTCACCGTGCTTGAAGTAGTCGACGGCAAAGTCCCAGGTGGTTTGGTTGTCGGTGAGGACTGCGATAGCCATAGCAGAAGCAATATTGCACTGTTCCCAGTTGGCAAAGAAGTGCTTGACATTATGCTCTGACCCCAGGACGTGGTTGAGAAAATCGAGGTTCATTGGCAAGAATATTTTGTTGAACATGTCGATAACTTTGGATAGGCCGTTCTTTGCAAATGGTTGGTAGTCGCGGAGGAGCTCTGCGGCGTTAGCAAGCTCATAACCTTGCAATCCCGCGGTTAGGTAGGCATCGTCACCCCCGCTGAGGATCTCCAGAGTATCTGCCCAAGCAACAAGGATCTCTGATGCGGTCTCTGCATATTGGTCCTCACCGCTGACTTTCCAGCGCAGAGCAAGGTTGAACGCAGCAGCTGCATCGTGCCATAGAACCTCGCCATTTTGGCCTCTGTTCACTTCTTTGACTGCATTGTTCTTGTAATCAGCGCTGGAAAATGGAATGCTTGTCAGCTTATTCCACGACGCGGTCCAAGGCTCTTTCTTCTCGACGAGCTTGGTCTTGATGCGAGTAATATCGGTGTCGGTGACTAGTAGACCGGGGTGAGTGAAAGCATAAGAAAGAGGGAAAAGAAAAGAAAAAAAGATGGTGTAAATGAGTGTCATAATGAATGAAAATTGTTAACGAGCGTGGCTCTTGGTAAATGGGAGAACGAAAGAAGGAGCGTATATGTGCCAATGACCGAAAGTAAGCATATCAGAAACACTTTCATCGATTTCGTGCTCTACAATAATCCACATTAAGCGCCTGGTCAGGAGTATCAGGCCAAAAGTCTAAACAGAAAGCCTCAAGACGCTCCAATCAATCATGGCCTCGATGAGGCGGTCATTTAACTATACGGCCCTGAAACCGCGCTACAGCTCGAATAGAATCCTTTATTTCTCATGGCGGGGAAATCTTGATCCTGAAACCACTAACATTCGCGTAAATGTAGGATCGTCAAAACCTCTCCACGAACAAAGGAGAAATGAGGTGAAAGGCGTGATTGCAGATTTGCGAGGGGAATAGAATAGAAAACGCCCTTTTCATTTTATTGTGCCGGCTTTCAGAGGTTCACTCTCTCGCAACGACCAGGTGCAGGCAGCATGGGTTAGCCTCCTGGTGTATACCCCTGCTCTCAGTTGCCCCAGTCCATCGGCGATCAGGCGACTACCGCGGCCCTATACCAAGTCCTGTCATATACTCCGTTGTCCCGTACTGACTCCTTACTACTTACATCACTTAGAGTGTGATGACTCTGTAATCTATCTGGGCCGCCGAAGACGAGGGTGTTATGGACTGAACTACTGCTTAGTTCGTGTGAGGAGTTTTGGGTTTATGTCGGATGTTTCGGAGGACGGATGTACCATTCGTTAATTAGCAAGGCCAATAAACTGTGGTTCGATTACGGAGTACATAGTTTGCATAATTACGCACATTATACACTGAATATCGTCATGGTCACTTCAGTGAATTATAATAGCCTGCGTGTCATCTTTGGTTGCTTGCTTGCTCCGCCAACTACCATCCATGAACCCATGAAGATATGACCCTCCTATCAACTGACAATGCTGAGCCGCCGGCGGACCAGAGTAAGCCAAATGCCTGAATATTAAAGGCACCCGTGATCGTGGCACCACCCAGACTGTATCTCCCTCCTGCAAATTCTGTGAGCCAACCCCGATGTATCCTTTCTCTGTTACGAACGGTCGAAGATACTCTCCATAGGCAAATTGCGAGCCAAACTCCATCGACGAGATAGATTCACGGCCTTTGATGGCGGAAAGCCATTCTGCATCGTGGGGCCAGAACTTATCGAAAGCTAGCTTGAGATCCGCCCAATACTCTTGGTCTTGCGAAGACAACACCACAGACTGCATTCTCTCCTTTATCCATTTTGTGAAACTAGGCCCCATTGATGATCCTTTTGGCGGAGGAAGTCTGGCCTCTCCATAAGTATTCTTAGTCACCGTTCGCCAGAAAACCTCCATCCGTCCTTCGCCAGTGAGCTCATACTTCTCAGGCAGCCTCAATAGCATATCCAAGATTCTTGGAAAGTGTTTGCAATTCAGAATATCGTGCTTTGACTCTGCAATGAAAGAGATCTTGTCCACTTGGAATCCACGGATAGTTATTGTAAGCTCATTCTTGTCGAATATAGCAGGCCAAAGGGCGAGCTTCTCTTCTCTTGACAAATTGGTGCCCGGTGGGAAGAATAATGAATCTGCTTGATATCTTTTATATCCGGTGACTCTCAGGCCAAGAGGATATTTAACACTCCAGTCGGGAACCCAGGAAGGAAGATCTGCGCCGTTCAGCTTTTCATTGCGAAAGCCCTCTACGCATGAAAGCACCAGCAGATCCTCACAATCCTCGAGAAGCTGGGTAGCGACATCGAGGTATGTCTTTCCAGGGCTACAATCACTTCCTTCAGTAGGAGGGCACAGCAACGTCGGTAATTTTTTAATCCCCAGCGGACCTTGGATAAGTCCCAGCAAAGCATATGCTTTGTCCCCGAGGTCTGTAGCTTCGCAGTGACGAGATCGTATCAGCGTGTATAGCAGCACGTTGGTCCAGTATTCTGTGGCCATGGAGGATTTGGTTGCTTCGAGAATCGCCGGGACCCCGTAGTTGCGCGACGCTTTCATGCTTGTGGCGGCAGATGGCGTGCCATCGATGGATCGATTGTCGTAGAACTGCTTCAAGTGGCTCGTGGATATATTATGGGAAGCTTTCACGAAAACATCCCAATCGGTTGAATACACTCCGCAGCGGAGAGTGACGTGCTCTGGGAGTACGAGTTCCTGGATGATCCATGATCTGTTCCAGTACGTACGATCAAAGATCTTTCCAATGGCCTCCCAACCGGCCTTATCTCCTTCAGAATTCTCAGAACCTGCTTGTCCAGTTGGTATACCCAAAGATTGGAGGTTGTTCCGGTCGGCTACCTTGGCAATGTGCTCAAACGCTGGCTCTGTATACGCATCTGAGTTCCCAAGCCACGCAATGACAGAATCTGCTCTTCTGTAGATCTCAGCCATCATGTTGCTGACTTGGTAACTTCTCTCGCTGCGATCACCCTGGTTTATGCATATCGCGTCGATCCAGAACTCCTCGTCCCTCAGCCTTTTGTCTTCCTTTACTTGGATTAGGAAGTCCAGCAGGTTTCTAGCAACTTTAAGCTCCCCATCGCCAACTTTTATAGACGCGACAAGCTCATTTGTATATGATTTAAAATACCCCTCGTCAATTGGCGCTCCCCATCTGTACGAAAGGGCATGGTATCGTGGCGATTGATCCAAGCTGACTACTCTCAGCTTCCACCTTGCTTTGGCAATATCTGAATCCCAATTACTGAGTGACACTAGACGCAATTCACCAGCCTTGACTGGGAAATCTGAATAGTTCAGAGCCATGGGACCCTGATTGGCGGGAACAAATAGAAATATGTTGTTTAAAACGATGCTGTGGACTGAAGAAGCGAATGGAGGCCAGAAGAAGGCATGTGATAAAAGATTTGGCCATTTCCTAGCTCTTATGATTTCGCCCTAGTAATTGCGGCTGAGATGTCCCCTCGCTGTTTTGCCAGTGATATTTGTCATATTTTTCAAAAGGCGCACGTCTAGACTCCATGACGCAGGATTTGTTGGCGTTGTGTCATTGGTTGCTGAGCGAAGGGGGCCTCCGTCTCACTGCGTCACAAAGTCATTTGTGGTCTAGGCTTTCCATAGTGCTTCATTCAGTCTCCCTTTACTGTAATTATCTGTCTGTCTTGCCAGGGTGACCTCTGATATACCTCCCGACAGTCCCCCTTAAATGCATCCAGGTTCTTTGCTATCACCACTTCTCTCCTCCATTTCAATGTCAGATCCTAAATGCTCCTATAAGTTCACCTTCGAGCCTGGTTGGTTTGTTGACTATCCAGTGATTTCTCACTCCTGTCCTGGTTGGAAGCTCACCACTCAGCCAAACCTCGGTTTGCTTGATGGTCGAGAATGGGCGAGGCTTACTGAACATGTCGAACGATCAAATCACCGGGGCGATTCAGATATCTCACATAAAATCTTGCTGGTTGCGCGACATGGCCACGGTGTTCATAACGATGTGATGGACGAAGTTGGGTCAGAAGAATGGAAGGTATTCCTCTCCCAACGTATCGAACATGACTGTAGCAAGCTGATACTCCTTAGAATCATTGGTCGAAGCTACCCGGGGACGCAAACAGAACTTGGCTTGACGCCGAACTTGTTGAAAAGGGTATCCAACAGGCTCAAGACCTCGGGAAGCTGTATACGGAGGGCATCTGGCGTGCGGGCTTTCCCGTCCCCGATACTATCTACACCAGCCCACTTGCTCGAGGTCTCAAGACAACAAGCCTCATATTCAGAGACATCACCACGGAGCAAGGGACTGATTTCAGGCCTATAGTGAAGGAGAATCTTCGAGAAAGACTTACAAATCATACATGCGATAAGCGAAGGACGAGACAGTGGATTCAATCCTCTTATCCCGACTATGAGTTGGAATCAGGCTTTGCCGAGGAAGATGTGTTATGGCAAGCTGACCGATCAGAGTCGAATGAAGCACATGTTGCCCGGACACAAGAACTACTTGAGGATGTTTGGAGATATGGTTCTGGATCCTGCATTGCTTTGACGACTCACTCATTCACCATATCTACCATCCTAGAAGTCATTGGAGCGCCTGAGTTTCGGATGGGTGAAGGCGCTATGGTGGCATTCTTGGTCAAAGGCGAGAAACTCAACGCAGAATGAGCTCTCCAAGGGATAATTTAAAGCAGAAACAGAGTCTATCATGCTTCCTGTCATCAGAGTCATGTGTCATGGAGTATCATCCACAGCTGGTCTCTCACGCCAAGCAAAGTTGGCCTCATTGTCAAAGTTTAGCGTTGTTCGGACAGACGGACACGACACTAGCTCCTCCGTGACTCCGGCCACGACAGCCAGGGTCTCAGCCGTGAGAACTACCACCAATGGTGTAATCCAACAATACAGAGCTAGCAGGGTTCCAACCTTAGAGTTCTTGATGGAGGACCATGTCAGGAGGGAAAAGATGTCACTATTGGCTGTGAAGACGGCATCCACTGTTTCGAGCCGCGCCATCTTATGGTGGGCAATTAGCCATACTCGCTGCTGAAAAGCCATAGCAACAGCAGTTCCTAGGCTCGCTTTAGCGCAAAAAGCAATCATTGTACCGTATCGCAACATGAGAGATTGGCTGGTGGCTTCTTGTCCATCAAGGCTTAGGTAGAAGAGATGATGGCCGCATGCTAACACGGAACCAAAAACGATCCAACGCTCGCAACAAGTCAAGTCAAGCCGGCTTTTTCAGGGGCTTGACTTGGGGGGGGGTCGGGCTTGAATTGTAGCCAAGTTAGCTAATTAGGATTGAATTGAACAAGTTGACTTGCAGATCCCTAGTCTAGCCTAATTAGGTAAGGTTAGCCCTGTAGTAAGCTTTTTTTCTGCTAACTAATAAGCTAAGATAAGATAAAGAAGCCTAAGATAAGATAAAGAAATTTACTTTAGGTTTTAAGAAATTCCTTAAAAAAAGAGGTAAAAGATACTTATATATTACTAATTTTACTAGCTGACTTGCTAACTTCTAAGTTAGGACCTAGGTAGACTTGACTTGTGGCTTTTTTTCCTGACTTGCAAGTCAGGGGGTTAGGCTTGAATTGAACAAGCTGACTTGAGTTGTTGCGACCGTTGAAACGATCAAGAGACACATGTTCCACGGTTTTAGAGTGTATGTGCTCCATCTTTGGGCGAAATATCCGTCTGTCATCGATGACCTGAACTTGCTGTTTTTTTTAGCCGCCCCCGCAGTGAGATGTGGGCTTCCAGGCTTGCTGTTGCTAGAAGGTTCATATGGTGGTGACAGGAGCTCAATCTGATCCGAAGACACATTCGAGCTCTGTCATGACCTCTTAAGTGAAGCGACAAATGACTTTGCAATGACTCCATTTAGAAGGAGATTCAGATGATGTCACGAGGAGAATTGAAAATGGAGGAGCTCAAAATCTTGTATTGATCCTCACAGCCTTATCTGAATTTATGCAGTATGTGTCATGCCATGTTACACAGCCCTCGGAAAATCCCTGTAGTATGACATACACTCAGCTCTACCTAAAATCGCCGTCTATCTTAATCTATGGGGGGAATCATCTCCGACCATCGTACAATTGCTATGCGACAAAGGAAATAAAAGCATTAGAATAATGGTAACGTGGTTGGTGTAGCTATGCTCGCTCGCTGTATTACATCGAACATCTCCAAGGAAATTAGGGTATCATCGCACGCCGGCCTGAACAAGTCGACTTTCGGCTGCTGGATTGTTGAGGAACTTGGGCACAGAGTCCTGGAATCCGTTAGTATGATGTCGCAGAGGGCATGAGGAACGACTTACAGTGGCCATTAGTTTGAAGACGGCATCTTGGGCCGTCTCCAATAGTGATGTCACCTCTTGCAAGGTATCTGCTACCGTAGCATCAAGAGCCTGGGCCTTGGTCATCCGTTGAGCAAGACTTGATCGGATCTTATGGTTGACGTTGACCTCTCGCGGTGACCCAGGTGCGAGGAAGGTGTTGAAGACAACATGCGCTTGAGACAGAAGCTCGTTCGCTGCATCATCGCCCTTCTTATCCTTCAGCATAGTTTCAAGCATGGCCTTGGAGTCCCGAATGATCTCGTCAGCCTGCTCGTAGAATGCAAGACTCTCCTCGCAGTAAGTCTCTCGAAGGTTCTCACGGAACAGCAACCGCAGTGTAGGGTCGAGGAGGATCTTCTCAAGCTTGTGGCGGTTGCTCTCGTTGACGCCGCCCTTTGCTGACGATGTGTCTGTCTTGCCTTGTGATGAGCAGCGACTCGATGAACTAGTCTCAACAAGGTCTTGACCGCGTTGGGAGAGTTGGTAGATGGCGATGGGGGTTGGTTGGAAGAGTTTGCAGGCGGCGAATTGATTCATGTAGGCCATGTCTGTTGTCACTGATTCGATGAGGTTGTAGTGCACGAAGTGGGTTGCTATGTTGACGGCTTCTCGAAGGTCGACGCATGAGGTGTTATCTCGTAGCCACTCAGCGACGACTTGGCCAGTGCAGGTATCATGGTATGTTTTGCCATTCACCTTGCGTTCTGGCTGGAGTCGGATACCTGCTGCACCCTCCGAATAAGGCCCCTTCTTGCCTCGTCCGTCAACACCGATCAACCGACAGAAGACAACCTCAGTGGTGGCTCGGTCGACATGGCACTTGTCGGTCTTGACATCTCGTTCCAGATGCAACAGAGGCCCTGTTATGAGACAGTGCAGCTCGCTAAGCTGATCTTGGTAAAGGCCATTCGATTGACAGAACCAGTCAAAGATCATGATACCCTTGGACGTTGGTCTCCATACTCCACCTCTTTGCTGAAACACTTGGTCGGGCTTTCCATCGGCAGACTCGATATATCGGGCATCGACGAATTGCTGACACAGATTTCGGGCTGTGTTCTTGTTCATGGAGAAGGTTGTTGTGGAGGTGGAGACGACGGTGCCCGATGGGTTGCTAGGATCAGGCATACGATTTGACTGGGTAAGCTTGAGATTGCCGAGGTTGTGGATAGCATCTTCGGCAAGGAATGTGTGTTCGATCTTGATGAAGCGGACGCGATGAGGGATGAGAGGGAGAAGACTGGCGAGGAGGGCGGAGAATAGGTCCTGGAGGTCCTGTTTGAAGCTGTTAGTGGTGTTGAACAAAAAAGCAAATGGCGTTGTTATAGCCGGTGTTATGTCCGGAGCCAAGTACCGACCTTTGATTGCGGTCGGTCATCGGTTGACGCGCATAGCAATCGTGACGACGACTGTGTAATTGTTCCCTTTGACATATTGGGTACCTGCGTTGAAGCTCGCCTCTGCAGAGTAGTAGAACCTCCTAGGTCAAGCATCACTTCAGATCTGAAGAAGCAAAGAAAGAATGAAGCAGCAAGCACAGTGAGCGGACGATAGCAGGTCCGGGCGACGATGCGATGCGGTGCGATGCGATGGCGGAGCCGGAGATGATAAAGGATTGGAAAGGGGACCTACATTACTCGTGCGGCCGCCGAACGATTCCTCTTTGAGCGAGCGGGTGCAGAGTCTTTTCCTCGTGGGAAGCGGAGAACCACATGGCGAGCCGCCCGACCACGCGACTGACTAGATCTAGATGGAGATTAGACTGTTGATTAATCCACGTGCATACGATGTTGTGTTGCTAGCTATCATGCAGCATCTTGCAGGCGTTTCCTTTAGTCCGTAGAGCAGTGGCCACCACGCCAAGCACTCCTCTCCTCTCCTCTCCTCCCTAGCGTGCCCTGATAACTCAGCTCAAAACAGCCCAGCCTCGCATGTTATGGTTTTGTTTACTTTACTTTACTGCAAGGTCGATTCTGCATTGTCACCGAGGGACCAACCCAACCTTTGTGGCCATGACCCCTTTCACCGAAGGAACAAGGTTTGCTTCTAGGACAAGTCCAGTCTAGCATCATCTGTCTAGAGTCTTGGGAGCGCCTTTTCCACCAATCATGCCTTTCTTGGAGCCTAAAACAGCTCCATCAATCTAGGAAAATTCTCGAGACACGGGAAATGTTACCCTTACATTCAAGTTAAATATGGGACAAAACCACCCGGCAATTCGGCCTTGCTTTTTTGCTTTGTGTCTTTTTGCCCGCCAGCTGAAACGCCCTTGTCCATTTTATGTACAGTAATAACAGTATGGAGTTGTTGTTGGTGATCTTCACCGATGATCGACATGCAACATTGAAGCGACACCGCCGGCTCCGCTCACCCACTTGGGCTGACGCTGGCTGACGCTGGCTGACGCTGACCTTGAAGCAAATTGCGCCTGCGGTTCCGCTGCGTGACATGATCAAGCCCCAGCCCCAATCAATGGAAATATGGACATGGACATGATCCGAACATCAACGGACCAGATCTACTGTGGCGCCAACCGACTCGGTCGTGAGATGATGCGCTACCCTCACCCAACGACTCAGTGAACCATTCGATTTTGAGGCTCAAGGAGGCGCTAAACGAGATAACGCAAATTACGATTCCGTGGCGCCAAAGAGTGGTTCCACATGGGTTGAAGAGCCAACGGGGGTAGAGGTGATTCGTCAATCTGAGAGAATGGCTCGCGGGAATTCCGAGATCTCCCTTCGACCGATTCTCCATGATGCGCGCATGTATTGGAACAAAGCTTGTTGATGCCGAAGAAATCGAGTGTTTCTAGAAAGACCCTTGACTTGGCTTTTGACGTGATGGTTGCATTGCCCGTTTCATCTAAACGCATCATTGCCGATCGTTCCCTTTCTGTATTTCGTCTCGCTTATGCTTCTGAGCTTCAACAAAACTGTCCACAGACAATGGATCCCTGGACTAGTTCCAGAAACCAACAGTCCGGGTCATCTTGCACTTTTGCTCGCACTAGAGCTTATGATCTTTCGTCTTCTGAATCAAATGCATGTCGATCCTCAGCGGATGCCCCAGATATCCGTTCAATAGCTTAGAACGGCGGGACAACGGCCGCAACCCCGATACACCATTTTGCGCTACAATGTCACTATCACAAATGATCAGTGGGCGGGAGATGAGATGCAGTGGGTTTAGGTTCCGCTTGTCTGTGCTCAGGGCTGAAAATACCCCGGTAATCTTGTTCAGGAGAATTCATCCACGTGGGAATCTGACAGTCCGTGGAGGGTTTCCCTGGGCTCGTGGGATGGCATTTTCTTTCCAGAATGTCGCTATAGTTACAGTCTATCTTGTTATCTCCCCAAGGGTGCGATTGCGGCTCCTGGAATTCCCGACTGCCGACAGTCTATCTTATCGCGCCTCATCACCGGAACCCATGCATTATGCGGCTCAGGCTGTTATCTCTTTAATCGCATGAATTGCATGATCATGAGTCCAGGGTAGATGCCATCCGCGTATTCCCCAACCTAGCACAAACACAACCAATGAGACGGCAGAGAACACGAAACCGTAACGCCGCCACCAACTCATGATTTGCATTGATTATGCAAGCTAGGTAAACAAGTCACAAATCGGCAGTTGCTAGAACCTTCATGAGACTGCTCATTGGCACTGACTCATGAACCCCTGACAGTCTCTGGCCGGATAGCTAGGCTAGCTATTTGTTAGTCCCAATTTCCACGTGGCCGACACGTTTCGCGCGTGAGACCATGACGAGCTAACTCTCGTGATCTCGCAAACTTGTGCTACTCTAGCAAGACGCAATTCTTCTCGTAATTTGTCTGCTTGACACATAGTTATCAGTAGTCCTTGAGTAATATAGCTGCTCAGCCAGGGGCTCAATTGATGTCAATCTTCGGAATCTCCGCGACTGAGAGTGAAAGCGGTAGTATCCAGAGGTTGGTTGACGATTGCGCACTGAAGCATCCTTGTTTCACAGAATGGCTCGACCTGTCAGCTTCCCTCGATGGCACTAATATTCCAATTAACACATGCTACATGCTCCATGTCAGTTGACACAAAAGCAGTCCACACGCAACTCTGCGCTTATCAATTCCCTGACATAGAAAATGATATGCTGACCCAACGGCACCGCAATTCATATCTTCAGTATCTGTAAGATGGGGGGAAGCTTAGCTAGCAGGACGCCTACATGAGCTAAACACGGACGGTAGGTGGACAACTGGGGACTGATCCGTGCCTATTGGCCTCAGCAGCGAGCTGCATGGAAGATAGCTTGCTCACGGACACGGATGCCGACTTCCATCCTACCCGAGCTTAGGTCTGAGCCAGGACTCAATCCTCCATCGTGATTCTGATGTTGGCAAATTGAGCCTTGCTGAGGTTTCTTGAAGGCTTTGCCGATCCCTTCGGGGGGACTTGATGCATGCTACGCAGCGCTAAGAAATCGTAGCCTCTTAGGATCTTTGCCTAACAATTTCTATGATGAAGAATATGAAGTCATGAGGTTTAAGAGGTTACTAATTCGAATTGATTGACTGTAGGTAGTAGAGAACGAATGATTGTAGAGTGTAACTTCCTCATGCACAGCAGTTGGGGATGTTGGTGATATAGTGCATTGGAAATTGAAATGGAGATTCTCAAGATTTGGATCAACTATATATAACTCAATTACCAGAGTCCTACTAACCAATCATAAGTCGTTGCGGGCGAATGGTTTAGTGGTATAATACTCCCTTAGCATGATTCATCAGAATAATCTGGGAGTGGTCCAGGGTTCGATTCCCTGTTCGTCCAAGATAGGTGGTTAATTCCCACTGTTATCCGCTTCTTTTTGCATTTTTACCAATTGGCAATTGCAAAGTATCCGAAGGCAAGACAAGGCTGCTTTTTAGAAGCTGACCCGAGTGAGACGCGTTGTGATCAAGCATATGTTTTGATCTCCATACTGCCAGATAGGCCCTTAATTCCAACACTATCTGGATACCTGCGATGCGAAATCTTTATAGCGTGCCTTGGGCATAATAGTCAGCTGTGAATAAATACCCCAACTCACTTGGGAACATCTTTTGTCTTCTACCCTGCGCTACGTCTATGCTCAAATACATTGTCTCATCGTCGCTTTATTGACCAAGTTCAAGTCAGGCTCTGAATGTTGGCAGTTGGCACTGACGATTGGCGCGCATCGAGTTTTAAGCTTACAATTAAGACTGCCAGGGGCCAACCCAATAGGACAACTTCACCATTTCTACGGTATCATTCCGCGAACTTGATATACCTGGAGTTACGTCACAAACAGGCAAAAGATCAACTCCAAAGTCCGTATTTCTCTCTCCCAAGCCAAGGTCTAAGCCATTTTCGGAGCTACCCTCTCCGTCAACCCAATCAAGCAAAAGCGCGTCAAGCTGTTCCCCGCACAAAAACATGTTCACGCGGGGACCCCACAAACCGCGACGAGCAGGGGGATCAACGGCTTATTATCCCAGAGAAGGAGGTCATGACACCATGCAGGATTTACCGCACCATTGAGATGCCGCCGCTGGGGAAAAATTTCGTGACATCGTGGCTTGCATGGCCGGTAGATATCCCGAACCTGATCGCCAAGACTATGGGTGACGAGCTGAGCGAGCTACCGAGGCAGGAGGGTGAAGATGTGACTTACTATAAGAAGTGCTGAGGATCGCTAGGAACGAGAGAAGAGACAGTAGCATTATCATCTGCACCTCACAGCAATCATGCGCTTCCAATCTCTTCTCTGGGGAGGACTCTTGAGTCTCTCTGCAGTCCTCGCTGCTCCTACTGCAAACCAGGAGCCTCCTACACCCGCCAAGCGTGCTCTTCCTACTTCAACATTCTCTAATAATGTCATCTTTTCTCCTCCTTCCAACGCTGGCTGGACAGATCCTCGCGTTCTCTACGCCCGCTCCATCCAGCTCTCTGACGGTTCCTTGCTGGCAACCTGGGAGAACTACTCCCCGGAGCCCCCGCTGGTTTACTTCCCTATCTACCGTTCTACAGATGGTGGTGTAAAGTGGACTCAGATCGGAAAGGTTCAGGACACAGTCAACAATTGGGGATTAAGATACCAGCCAGACCTCTATGAGCTTCCAAGAGCAATTGGAAAGTATCCTAAGGGAACTATCCTTTGCACAGGAAACAGCATTCCTACTGATCTGAGCAAGACTAAGATTGATGTCTATGCTAGCACTGACGGCGGAAAGACTTGGAAGTTTGCTAGCAGCATTGCGTCAGGCGGCGAAGCTCGTCCCAACAACGGCCTCACACCAGTATGGGAGCCTCATATGATGTGAGAGCCCACTCCTCAGTTCTGCAAAGGATTTGTACTAACTCGAGATAGGGTTTACCAAGACAAGCTCGTCTGCTACTACGCCGATCAGCGCGACCCCAAGCACGGCCAGAAGCTCTCCCACCAAACCACTACTGATCTCGTCAGCTGGTCTTCCCTCGTCAACGACGTCGCTGATAGTAACTACAACGCCCGTCCCGGTATGCCAGGAATCACTCTCCTCCCCAACGGCCAGTACATCTTTGTGTACGAGACCTGCGGTACCCAAGGCTGCAGAATCTTCTACCGTCTTACCTCGGACCCTCTCAGCATTTTTGCAGCCAAGGAGTATGCTCTGGTTAGCAACAAGGGCACTCGCCCCGTCAGCTCTCCTACCGTTGTCTGGAGTTCGGTCGGAGGAGCCAACGGAAGTATTATCGTCAGTGCTGGAAGCCAGTCTCAGATCTTTGTCAACAAGAACCTCGGTGCCGAGAACTCTTGGGTCGAGTTTGCTACTCCTCAGCCTAATGCGTATACTCGTGGGCTTATGGTGTTCAAGGAGAACGATAACTTCTTGGCTATTATTGGAGGCGGGTGGTTGCCTCCTAGCAGCACCAACCAAGTTAGCCTGAGCGTTGTAGACTTGAAGAAGACCGGACTGTAGAGTATCGCGTTAACTATAAAAGTAGAAAACCATCAAATAGCTTGTCCCTTTCCGAGATTGGAGAAATAACATGATGAAATCTAAAATTAATCGGGTTGATGCCCCCATTTCTCGCCAATCTCATCTTCTTGGCTTGGCTGTAATCCTTCCATAATGATTCTAGTAGCTTCCTCCTCTTTGTCGTATGGCGGAACCTTTTCACTAATGCCAGTGTCATATTTCATCCTGCTCTCAACAGTGCGACCCAGCCATTCAAAAGCCTCGAGCAAGCCTTCGCCGGTCTTTATGCTCGACCCAAACACCGCCTGTAGCATCGTCAGTTCATGCCGCACCATTTCTCTGAGTCACTCACATGTGGCGTATTTAATAGAGGGGACGAAAAATCGTCGACATAGAATCCCCTTATCTGTTCTGCTGTACGAGCGTTCTGTGGAGCATCTCAGCCTAAAGTTCAGTTACAAGGTCAAGCCACATACGCTCTTATCTTGCTTGTTCGCTAGAATCAACACGGGGATGCTGTTGCGCAAACCGTCTTGGTGGCGTATAGCTTGGAAAAGTTCTTCTCTTGCTTCTATGAGGCGGTCGTGATCAGCCGAGTCGTCGACCCACACAAGTGCATCGCAGTGCTTCATGAACGATCTCTCCATTCTCCAGTATGTCTCAGGCCGGCCTCCACCGAGATCGATGGTTTGGAAAGTGACATTGTCGCATCTATAGACTTCAACTCGATGGGAAATCATGCCTACGACGACAGATATATCTTTTTCATTGGTAACTATATGAGAGCGCAAGAGAGTTGAGTTGCCAGCATCGTCAAGCCCGCTAAGGAGGATGCGATGGTGGCCAGGAAGGGTACTGAATAAGCTTGTGATTGGCGTGCCTGAGGATGGTCTCAAGAGACCAATTGAAGCGAGAAATTCGCGGGCGTAAGTGATTAGGTTTGCCATAATTGTAGAAAGTAGAAGGTTTGAGTCTGTCAAAATATGACTCACGATGAAAGAGGCTTGCTTATATGAGATCCCAAATAGCTGCCTAGAGCAACGGGCCAGTGAGTGCGGATATTGATCACGTAGCGTTTAGAAAGCAACCACTGAAAGTGATAAAAAAATCTGTTTGCTACAAGAAGCAGACAGATTTCATGATTGAAGTTTGTGATTTGTCTCAAAGCACCATCTTCTCGATTCAAAGAAGAGGAGCAGCCAGAACAAACAATGACTGGGTATGAAGGCTGATATTCAATGGCAAACCCAATCGCCGCAGTCAAAACAGCAAGGCTCAGAAATCAATCTCATTCGAGGATTCGCGAAAGTCAATGCAGGCAACAGGCTACCTAGAGCTGTGTAACATGAGTCCAAGTGAATCATAGTGGGTGACTCATGAGAGCTTCACATTTGGTGGCGGGGCGATTGGTTATGACGAAAGCTCATGATTACTCAGCCATCTCATCTTCTGCCCCGCCCCGCTCTACTAAAATACTCAACTATCTCACCTCAAAGATCAACCACGAACTTACGAATACTTCAATTATCACCACTTTCCGAGACCGAGCCACATCTCGTCGTCATGTTCAAGCGAAAACCAGACATCAGAAACCTAGCGCCTTTACGCTCCTCTGATCGACGAAAGCTCGCCGATCAAATCATCCGCGATTATCAAGTCTCTATCCCAGAGTCCGGCGACGATGCGTCATCAGGGACACAATCACAAACGGCACTGCGTAACTCGCTTCTACCAGAGTCGACTTCCTCAGCTCGTTTCATCACACCAACTGAACAAGGAACCGTGTACATAGGTGCACATTCCGATCAAGATGAGAGAGTCCTCTGGTTTCAGACCGGAAAGAACCCCCGATTGATACCAACCGTGTACACTTTGTGGCGCAACCCCAACCTCATTCCACTTCTGCATACGCCCGACTTTGTGGTTGAAGAGAAGTTGAAGCATGGCGCCGACTTGATGGTTCCTGGGCTCGTAAAAGCCAGAGGCACCAGCTGGGATGCACGAGCGAGCACTGGCGCTGTTGTGGCTGTCGCAGGAATGCAGACTGATACAGTGCCTGTCTGGGTTGGAACATGTCAAATCGATGTGCCAAGTCTGCCAGAAGATTTGCGAGGCCAGAAGGGCGCCGCGGTCAAACCCCTTCACTGGGTTGGCGATGAGTGCTGGAGTTGGAAGCAACTTGGCAGCGGCGGAATCGACCCGCCTTCAAGCTTGGAGGGATGGGCAGGGCTAGCAGGAGGGTTGGCTACTCAAGCTAACAAACTGTCGCTGGAGGAAGAGACTAAACCAACAGAGACAGCACCAGCTGCTCAAGGCTCTCAAACCGACGAGGCCCAAGAAGGTGATGAGGTAGAGGAGGAACACGAACCAACGACAAAAGAAATCGATAACACATTCCATCAAGCCTTCCTGTTTGCAGTCCACAAAGCCAAAGAATCTGGCTCCCCGCCACATTTCGGCTTACAGTTCCCTCTTCAACCGTCTTTCGTCATCGCAAATATGGTGCAGCCCAATCTCCGATACCAGAACCCAAAGTACTACAACATCAAGAAGACGTCATGGAAGAACGCCAAAAAGTTCATCAAGCATCTTGATAAAGAACTGATCGTAAAGTCCAAGGACAGAAATGGCGGAGAGACCGTCATTCTGGACATTGACTTTGATGATCGGCAGGTTTTGGGCTTCCGGCCATATCGACTGCCGACACCCAAGACTAACGGTGGAGATGTTTCAACTTCAGATGCCGCGCGTGCCTCAGGGTCGGGCTCATCTGCAGGGCAAAAAGTCAATATCCAGATGGTCTATCGTGTATCTTCAAAGCTCGTACCGACCCTTGTCCCCTCCAAGACGGACTTCTACACCTCGCAGGAAATCTCAGCAGCCATCAAGTCGTACATCGACCGACATCCCGAATTAGGCGGCCAAGGAAACTCCAGCGTCAAGCTCGACCCATTTCTCGCCAACGACATCTTAGGTAACAAGCCATCTGATGAAGATGTCAGCTTCCTTGCCGCAGGAAGAATCCCTCGAAGTACTCTCCAAAAGCGAGTGATTGAGGATACCCATCTCTGCCAACCCTTCCACATCATCTCACATGGCGCCCCCTCACCCGACCAAAAGCCAAAGTCTGGACTACCGCCTCGCATCCTGATAACAATCGAGAAGCGAACCGGTACAAAGGTCGTCACCAAGATTTCCAACCTGGAGCCTTTCTTCATTGATCCTCAGGTCCTTGCACCAGAGTTACAGAAGAAGTGCGCGGGTTCTGCGAGTGTAGGCCAAGTTGCTGGTGCGAAACCTGGATCGATGGAGGTGGTCGTCCAAGGCGATCAAAGGAAGATCCTCGCAAAGGATATCTTGGCGAGCAAGGGTATTGATGCGAAGTGGGTGGATATTGTGGACAAGACGAAGCCCAAGAAGAAGAAGTAGATGCTAAACAAGAATGAGCTTGGAATAGCATCGCCGTTGCTGAAACAGCTACAAGACATCCTAGGAAGATTTCATAGGAGGGTTTTATGGCACATGGATAGACTACAGAAAGGCCAAGATAGTTGTAGTAATGGCAATACCGCATTCTGTGGTAACCCTAAATGGTTTTTGAGCCTCCTGTCTATGAAAGTACGCCCACTGTGAGGGCGCAGGTTTTCAAGAAACTGGGTCGAGGTCGCAGTTGGCAATGCTTCCAGTTGCTGAGCTCTACATCTGGCCCTTGATGCTATCTCGTCGGAAGAATCTGAAGAATACTATTGGACATCGGCTATGTTCACGTGCAGCCGCTAGACTGTTAGGCAGCATGAACAAGCAGCATCTGTTCGTCACCTCTTCACCATCTCACACTGCATGACACCTAAAAGATTCGTTAAAGTCAGCAGCTCTCTTCGGTGCTCTTTTTCTCCCACTTGATTTATACTCTTATTTATTTTTTTGGCCACTGCCATGCTATCCCAAAACCAAGGTGGGGGTGACAGGCTGAAAGACCTAGGTAGCGAACATCTCAGTCCATTCGAGCGTGCTTTGCGACGTATACTGGAGACTGATATAGCAGAGCAAACATATGCAGAAGTGTTTGATGGTTTGCCATTAAGTGCCTCGTATTTATCTTTCCAGTTCCCGCAAGATGGGCATCCTGCACTTGAACACGAGGAACTTTTAGAGGGCAGTCGGGAAAGAGTCTGTGAATTTCGGTCAAGTCTTGATATCTCATCGCTGTTGTTTGAGACTACTGTAAGCAATGTTCGATTATTCCCGGAAATATTGTAACTGACATGCTCCGAGTTGGTCGAGGCCTTTAGGAAATCGGCACCTCGGTCTAAAGAATTCTATTTAAGGCTTATTGAGCTCCTTGCCGTGAGCTGTCATAGGTTTGCGGTTGAGATCTTCCAGCTTGATGAAGTTGCCGAGAGACATAAAATATATGATGTCTGGAGAGATTCTCCTCGAGATATGGCAAAATGGGATTCATTCCGGGACCCAACGGCCTTTACGCATGGACCTTACATTGCAGTTGACCAATATCCGAATGGCGCTGCAGATAGTGTAGGATACTGGGCTGAAGCCAGAATATTTGGTGGCGTCGTTGTGTTTGATAGAGGTGAGGATGGCACCGAGGTAAGGAATAAGTCCATTTCCAAGAGACGCATTATTAATCTAACGGCAGAGTCGACAAATATACTTCCATGGATGTCGCCGCAAGGGCCCACGAACGATATACCCTCCGACAGACCAGCAATTCGAACAAATGATTCAATTTCTTCTTGATGAAACTGAAAATCATGATACTGCTTCTGCCAATCCGTTTCCTATCCTAGCGACACCACAGAACCGTTGGCGCTGGGATCCGTGGGATGCAACGGCGCTATACAATATCTATCGCGATCGGTTTGAACGGAAGATCAGCCCCAGTAAAGGGAAGCCGTGCGTTCTGAACTCTATTGACTGGCCCGAAATAAAAGATGATCTATACCTCATCAATGCGATGCATGAGCGGTTGGAGGGAAAGTCGGTGGATGAAGACGAGATCGCTGCGGCTAAAGAGGGGTTGACGAAGATCACTCCATCATCACCGTTATGGTCAAGCGAGGTACCGCGGACATACCAGGGAATATAAAAGAAGTATGTACATAAATAGAACTGCCATTTTACTACGTATCGATCATCACTGGACGGCCCTTCATGAGTGAGTTTGCGTTGGAAGAAAATCGCGCATCTACAAGTGAACAAGCACCACTACAAAAGGTACAGTGCTTCCATGAACCAAAACAAAAAGCATGAGGCACACCCGACTCGAACGGATAACCTTCAGGAATCAAGCATACTTTCAAAGGAACCTCGAAATAAACTGGAATCTGACGCGCTACCAGTTGCGCCAGCGCCCCATGGATTGGACGGAGGTTGTACTGTTTCTAGTCTATGCGGTCTGGTTCTGACGATGTGGGTTTGGTATTCTTGCCGAGAAAAGCCGACGGCGTGGGGCAGAATCAGATCATGCATCTTGAAGGTAACAGCTTGAGCAATGAGTAGAATCAGTAAAGGAAGCGATGTTTGGTAATTCAGGCTCTCTAAAAATACACTCCTCCCCAATCATGCGCCGGTAACTGGCCTCAGCTGATATCGCCGACATATAGCAAGACCTTTACGTAGCAATTCAATCTCTGCTTCTAGAGCCTTCCGACGGCATATCGTTTCTTCCGATTCCGCAACTAGCTCTTGAAGCCTCTCGTTGCTCATCCCGTAGACCATCGAAGGTGAGAGGATACTTGGCAGATCGCAAATTAGACAGCTCTCGATTGCGAGGTTGATCACGTTCTCAATATAGGTACGTCGCGACGACTAAGCTTGTTAACCAGTTTCTCTGCGCGGATGTGGGACAATTACCTCGTAGTAGATACTCATGATATCAATGATATCGTATATACCGGATTCTCGTATTTCTGAATCTTTCTCTGCCGCAACTGCTTCTCGAATCATCTGGCGTGTAACCCTTTCCTTCTGGCGGTCGTCAGAGGAGACGGGAGCTTTGGCTGTCACCAGGCTGTAGACTCGCTCGGCTAGACGATCTCCCGATCTCTGAGAGAATTCTGTGTAGCCGTCAAGGTCTAGGGGAAACGCAAAAGCTTGTTCATAAGGCTTGAAGAGCTCATTAATCTTTGCCTCTATAGCCACCTTCTTCTCGTCGAAGAAAGGATCCACACACGTTGTCAAGATGGCTTCAGTCCCTCCGTTGAAACATAGAGGTCTGAATAAAAACTGGAGTACTCGATCCACGAATGCCTTGGTGACCTCAAATACGAGCTCTGTATGGCGAAGAGCGATTACGCTCCAGGAGCTAACCTGATGTTGGAGTCGCCGCCTTACAAAATCGTGGGTGTGAGACCCTGGGAAATCGACGCCCCGATTAAAGATTACCCTTTTCACGACTTTGTTGATGAATTCCTCTTTTGTGACAAATTCTGTCTCCATAAATTCATTTTGGTTGTAGTGTTCAATGAACTTAAGGAGGTGTTTAGGCGGTTTGTATCCTTCTGGCTTCTTGATATTTGGTGGTCCAATGCTATATTCCGATCCCCTAAATCTCATTATATGATCGAATGCTTGACTCAAATCTCGAATTTGAGCCCTCAACTTCGTGATTTCACCATGTTGAATAAGGAAGAAGTTGTCTTGATACCGCCCGTGGATTCCATCTTGAACAACACGCTGGAAGTCACTTGCCACAGAAATGAGAAAGGACCTCATTTCTTCTGGGCTAGACCGAGGTGACCCTAAACCTTCCATATCAGATTCTCTGAACTGAAGGCTCCAATCGATATCCTCGACTACCAGGGGGAGTGTACGTCGCATATGATAGTACAGAGCAAGGCTGAGTTTCTTTCTGAGGTTCGCAGCGCCTCGATCGACCGGTGGTATGCATGACCATGAGCTTCCTTTGAAGAATTGGTCTTCGGTCTCATCTCGCCTCGAAAAGCTCAGTTCTTCCTCTCGCTTGTTGCAGAGAACGTGCCATCCGAGGCCAAAGTGATTCGTGAATTGGCGATTCATGGCCAATCTGATGTAACTTCGCGCCTCGACGGATCCAGGCCGCATGATATCAGGATTTGTTACAATGGGGATTGTCTGTTTTCCATGGGGATCAAACAGCCTGGAATGTCTGAGAACTACCTGTTCAGGAATGGTCTTGTTGGGGTTGACGACGACTAAATAGATGTTGTCCTTGTTATCCAGGTGGCTGCCTAGAAGACCTTGGAGGATTTCAGTATTTTCTTGACTCTTATCAGAGTTTGGAAACCCTGGTAGATCCAACAGGCTCAACGGATACATAAGCGGTCCCTCAATTTCCAAACGTAGCAGGTCCTTTGAGAAACCCTTCCCGACTCTGTTGAACTCCATAATACTCTTGGCCTCCTCTATGATATGAGCAAGGCCATCCTCCTGAAAGTTAGAGTGCTGCCATGTTTTGATTTTCTTTGATTTGTCTTCGAATATTATCGTGATATCAATGCGAGTCTCCGGAGCTTGTCGAAACATAACTTGAATGGCGAATCGCGTGCAGCCATTTTCGCCTGTCGGAAAACGCAGGTGAGAAATGGCCTGGAGAACAGATGACTTTCCAGATGACTCTTCGCCCAGGACAACTATTTGTGGAACTTTGACCTTTTCCTTGATGCCACAAACGCTCAACTTGTCACATATGTCGTGTATGGCTTTGGTTTCAGTCGTGTTGAGTTGACTCAGCACATTGAGATCGATAGCAATATTCATTTTGACAGTGTAAGAAATAATGAATTTGGGTACGCAACTATGGGAACTTGCTGGTTTCCATCTGTGTTATGTAGTGTGCTGTTTCCTCCAAACAGGCCTTCTCGTGTTGGCCCGATGGACATGGCCTTGGCCTGAACATTGCCCAGTAGTTACACGCCCAGAAACCGCGCGCTTACGCCATGTCGCAATTCGTTCGTGATCCTACTCTGCTGAACCATGCAACACTGCGCGTTTCAATACTGTTTCTGTTGTTAGCATTGCGCAAAAGTAGTTATGTTGGTTCTGACATGTACCGCTTCGACAGCATGTGGCGACAAGGTACTTCAAATATGCGAGAGAACAACAAAGTTTGCTCAAGCCCCCAATGCCTAGTTCCAAGTTTGAGGCGGAGCTGATGAAACTACGTAGCTGTAATATGACACCGAATCTCGAGTTAGTATTTGACTTGATTCGCGCTGCTGGTGATAAGAGGCTATCCACAGGCCGGGCTAGACCGTCAAAGTGTCTCAGCCACTTTCGCTAGCTCAGTTGGCTCCCCTCACCAACTCTTCTCTGTTTCCCCCAAGCCTCGCGGACAATTTTCTCAAAACCACAAGACATTCAATTTACATTAATTTGCAACGATGAGTTCCACGACCCATCCTCTACTGACCAATATCTACGATGCGCTGCGTCACAAGTTCGATGCCGGAGACAAGACTCTCTTCCAGATGCAAGTTCCGACACAACCCCTCCAGAGAAGCGAGTTACATTATGATGGAAGTGATTCGGACTCTGCACGGATGATCAAGCCGTCTTCCGTGGCTGAGGCGGAGTTCCGTCTCACAGATGGCATGTTGGAGCTTTCTAACATCGTGGGCGGTCCAAATGGAAGCAAACTCTCAGAGACATACGACCAGGTGCTTTCTGGTCTCATTTCGGCTGACCAAGACGCCAACCCCGACCAAGCCAATGAAACATTGCAGCAGGCGAGAGAGGACCTGAGGTCTTGCGTGAACCGCAATATGGATGACACAGAAGACATTTATCCCGTCAATCTTGCCCCTAGCGACTGGGCTAAAAGTCTTCGGGACCCTTGGCAGCAAGACAATGCTGGCAGCATCCAGAGTCAGCTGCAAGACGCCATAAGACAATACAGCTTCCTTAAAGCAAGAAGGGACACTCTAGTGGCTGTGGTGGGCGACTTCAAATCGTTGCAAAAAGCTGTGGATAATGCAAGGGCAGCTGCGGACGCCACAGAAGCACAAATGGCGAAGGGCTTTACTGATCCAGTTGCCCAGTGCATAAAGCTTTACTTTGCTCAGGCTTGTTCAAAAACACAGGAAGGTATTGAAGCTATCAAAGGACTGAGCGACAGGAACAAGATGGAACTCAATGCATTGCTCCAGCAGTACCAAGCAGGTCCACTGAGCGATGAGCAGTGGACATCCCTCGTTGCATTGCAACTAAAACATATTCAGAACTCAAATGATCTTGCTAAGGCTTCCGAAGCACTTACTCGGGCTCAGACAGAAGTCTCACAGGCCACCAGTCGCGATAGCAGGCTTGAGCTATATACCATTAATGATCAGATTGCGTCGCTTACTGTCGAAATTGAGAAGTATCAGAATATTCTTCGGGAAACTGGCGCTCAGAACTATGAGGGAACTTCCCATGCTTTCCAAGGCAGTACAACAACACCAAGATGGGAGACCTTAGTCTTTGATACTCGGACATTGATGCAGACCCAGTCAAAGCTCAGCTGTACTGCATCTTCGAATCTTGCTTGGTCAACCAATCTCTTGTCCTCTAGCGAGTCTAGTATCACTAGCTCTGCCGCGACCGGCCAGGAATCTCCTTTGTCCGCTGAGAATACCGATGTCAAGGTTGTGTTAAGCGCAACGAAAGTTGCTATCGACAGGCCATGGTTCAACGCTCGGGTACTCGGCAAAAACATTGATCCTGCAGCCTCTACTGTCCCAAATATCTCAGCAGGTAACGCTGAGGATGTCCGCAAACTATTTGCTAGCGGCTCGATAGTCGATACCACTGATTGTCAGCTACCGGCCTGGACCACTAGTTTCCTTGTTGTCCAGGATGTGTGCATTACCCTGACCCCTCAAACCACCTTCCAGAAGAGTCAGGTCCAGGACATCGAAGATTGTCTATCATCGGGTGGTAGTTTGCTAGTATTTCGAGCTTCCAAGAGTGATACAAATGGGAATCAGGGAGCTGGGTACGGCGTAAAGGGCGACAGCATGATGATAAACGTCCGTATTTCTGCACCTCAGATTCTTGGCTGGTTCACCCAAGTATCTCCATAGAATGGGTAGACAAGCAAATAAAGAAATGTCGAGACTGAGCTAGCCACTGTCTAAACCAGTGGCGGGCATGTTCATTATTAAAAAGTCATCGAAAGCTTGGGACGAGAAATGTCTTTTGGCATATGGTGCTACTTGTGGATAGGTATAGTGTGGTGTGGTTACGTCTGCATACAAGAATCGAGACCTTGCGAAACCAAAGACAAATGACCCCGTGCGTACATTGAATCCATGGCAGCAGAAATTTCAGAAATAACGGCCATGCGAGGGTTGACTGCAACCAACTACACAAGGAATCAACAATACACAACAGGCTGTCAGTCTCGAATATATACCCCGCCTTAGTCCGTCGAATGTGCTATTTCAACCTCAGAAGCTAGACCAAAAACTCGTCCGATGAATGTTTTGCACTCATCCATTTCGTTACCAACGGGATGGGGTTGGACAACCCCCTGAGCGTCCTCGATGAATCTCATCGGACGTTTTCCGCAAAGGATCCATTCGAGCTTTGGTAACACTGCTCGGTAACTCCTTGCATGCTCAACCATGCGATACAAATGTGCGTGCTGCCAAGCCACCCTTGATTCGCCTCGTTCCTGAACGAACGGGCCGAGCTCCGGGTGATCCTCCGCCGTCTGGAGATCTTCTGGGTTCGCGTAGGCCTGTCTGTAGTATCCAGTGTGGCTAGAACCTTCGCCAGCCCTCGAGGGATATGTATCTCCCCTTATGACCAGCATCTTAAGATTCTTTAGACTTTGCAGATGAGCTCGCAGCTTACCATGGTCGATGAGCCAGATGGGAAAAGTGACCCCAGTGTAGTCCTCGGGTGAATAGGACTCATATCCCATCTCATCGCAGCGCAGACCCAATTGCTCTAGGGTCGTAAGCTCGCAGATAGTCGCAAGAGACTCCGGCAAAATGAAAAAATGATCTTTGTCGTAGCCGGCATCCTTGTTTTGACCTCCAAATTGAACATACAAGGAGCGAAGGTTATTAAATCGACCCTTTCCAAGGCCAGGGATCAAGACTCGATCCAAAGAATTATCACGACCCGACATGTAGTAATTTTGAGCAACCCAAAGTTTTTTCAAGCTGTTATGCTTGAGGATTAATTCCGTGGCAAGCTGCGGATTCTCTGTTAATTCAATAACAAGCTCCTCAAGATCCCGATATGGCTCTTCGATACGGGAACGAATCTGATGCTCAAATAAACGAAAAGAGGAGTGACTCGGTTCGAGGGACTTGAGCGGCGCAGAAAGGAGGGAAGCAAAACTAGCTTCATCTATGGCATCACGGCCAGGCTTGATTCGGAGCTGTCGCAGTTTAGGAAAGGACTTGGGGTCGGTCCCAAGAGAGAGAGGCTTCCAGGCCTCGGGGTTCCAACTCTCCCATGTCAAAGATTCGAGAGTTGGGGAGCAAAGCTGGAATAGACTTTTGAAGAAGGCATTGCTGGGATTAGATCGCAATGGTTCCCCTTCGCCAAGTCGACCATGCTCTTGGTCCCAGGAGCCTACTAACCTGACATTCATCAGAACGAGAGATCGCAAAGGCCAAGACGGCGGGGTCAGAGGTGGCCCGAACGCATTGTGGCACAAAAATTGAAGGCGGTGAGGGTAATAATGTGCAATTGATGATATCGAAAAAGTTGGAAATTCTAGCATTCACAATGACGACGGGGCTCATACTACCTCACCCCACTGGAGCTGGAAAAAAGATTAAGTCCATCCCTGTTTACATAAGTCACTGCGTAACATGAAAAAGAGACATACACGCTCTGGGCTCAGTCAACACGCCGACGCGTCAGTTTCGTGAATTGTCTCCCGCGGCAACAAATCTGTATAAAAACTGCTGAAATAAAGCCATCATTCCCAACGCCGCCATGTTGCAGCAGCTGATTAACCGTCATGGTGGCAATTGGTACAGTAGTTCAGTGTGATCTGACACGTGTTAGATAGGTACGCTGTTCCACATTTGCTCACTCCATCATTATCCTTCATGTACTGGACACTGCGAAATAGTTAGCATAAACTCATCATCGACCATGCAAGGGTTCACTTACGCATCCTTGATGTCCTTGCCCTTCATTCCGAGACCATAGTCATCGCACTTGAACTGGGCCGTGCAACCAGCTTGACCAAATGTCGCGAGCATGATCATACCGCTCTTGATCCTAGCATAGCGCGAGACATAGTCCGTGTATGTCGTCTCATCATCGAAACCATCGTTCAAAGCACGGTCACATGCATCATCGATGCTGCCGCATTGGCTAGAGCCCTTGTTGTTCGCATCAGTCTGCGTGGGCAAAGGAGTCTCGAGTGTAACAGCGTCTCCGACACCCTGGGTATAAGTATACTTTCCACCTGGGTAGTTCCCAACCAAGACTGTACGGTCGGGGTAAGAAACCACTGTGCCATCGTCGGTCTTGACGAAAGGCTCTGGGTCAGGCTTCTCAGTCACCTTGGGCTCAAAAGCATCAGTAGGGATAGAGGAGGGGAAGGTCGTGTAGTCGGCGCAAGACGACGAGATCAAATCAGTGTAGACATAGAAGCCCTTGCCACTGACTGTAGTCTCACAGGCGCAGTAGGGATCAATGCCGGGATTGGCATGAATGATGCAAGGATACTCGCGTTCAGGCTCCTTAGTCGTGGTGGAAGTAGCGAAAGTAGTAGACTGCACAGAGGTCTCAGTAGATGTAGGTCCTGCTGTCGTAGACTCAGCAGTTGTGGCCTTTGTTGAAGTCATCTCGGCGGTAGTGGTATCTTGGGTCTTCGTGGCCTCAGAAACCTCAGTGCTCGACCCTTCGGTAGTGACAGACTCAGCGGAGGTCTCGGTGGTGCCTCCTGTAGTAGGGGTAGCATCAACATCCACAACGACCGTATCGACGCCCATGCTCAGCTGAGGAAGCTCAGTCGTCTGTGTAGAAGTAGCAGCAGAAGTCTCAGTAGTTCCTCCAGTTGTTGGAGTCGCATCAACGTCGACAACTACCGTGTCCACGCCCATAGACAGTTGGGGAAGCTCTGTAGTCTGGGTAGATGCTTCAGTGCTGGTGGCCTCCGTCGTAGCTTCACTGGAGGTAGCGCCGGTGGTAGGAGTAGCATCAACGTTCACTACAACAGTCTCAACGCCCATCGATAGCTGAGGCAGCTCAGTGGTGCTAGCCTGAGTAGTGGAAGCAGCGGAAGACTCGGCAGTGGACTTGGCTTCAGTAGTCTGAACTTCAGTCTTGGTCTCTTCCTCAGCAGTACTCTTATCGTCGTCGTCATCGTCCTGGTCGTCAGGATCTTCAGGTGTCTGAGTTCCTACGGGAGTAGGGACACCTCCGTTGATGACGACAGCTGATGGAGCCGGAGTGATGCCAGGGAGAGGGGGAAGGACGTAGCTTCCAGGTGCAGGTCCTAAGCCACATATTAGTATAAACTTTGGGCGGAAAAGGTCAGCGAACTTACCAATACCCCAAAGGACGATACCGCCAGGGCCATTGTCTTTTCCAGCATGCTCACAAAAGATCAGGCATGACGGACCAAAAAGAACAGGGACAACAACATCATTGTCATCGCTGTCCTTGGTACTGTGCAGAGTGTTATCGCTGACACCAGAGATGGTCTCTTGAGGCTCAGCAGTGACAGCAGCAGGGGGAACTGTGATAGGAGCCTCGTCTTTCTTGGTGGTGGGTTCAGGGTCAGTCTCATCCTTGGTCTTGGGGTCCTCGTTGTCCAAGTCTTCGGACTTAGGACCAGATTCCTCGTCCTTACTAGTAGGCTCAGCTTCCTCTTGCTGAGTTGTAGTAGGCTTGGGGTCCTCAGGTTTCTCAGTTGTCGATGGCACCTCACCAACAGGCTGTTCTGAGGAAGTGGTAACGGGCATCGGAGCCTGGGTAGTGGTGGTCTCCACTCCAACAACAGGTTGCGAAGTGGTATCCTGAGGTGCCAGTTGCTCAGTCGTGGAGTCCTGAACGGGAGGCTGCTGGGTGGTTGTGTCAACAGCAGGGCCTTGCTCAGTAGTTGACTGAGGTGCAGGAGGCTGTTGGCTAGTAGGTTCGACACCAGGTGCCTGATCAGTTGTGGCAGTACCAGGGGCAAGAGGTTGCTGAGTAGTTGTCTCTGCTACGAGAAGCCCCTGTGATGTCGTAGTGTCGATAGCTGGAGGCTGTTGGGCAGTAGTTTCGGGACCAGTAGGCTGTCCCGTCCCAGTAGTGGGCTGTCCAACAGGGATCTCACCAGAAGATGTCGAGTCAAGAGGCGACTCGTCATTGGCAGTAGAAGTACCTCCAACCGCAATGTCGGTGCTCTTGGACTCAGACAGCTCAGGCAACATATCGGTTGAAGTAAACGCAGTATCAGGAACCGGAACATCTGTGCTTGTCTCCGGAAGTGCGACATTCGAAGAAGTCGTCTTATCGAATGCAGAAATCTCAGACGAAGTAGTTTCAAAGGGAAGAGGGTGAAGAGTCGTGGTGGTGGAATCACCATTGGCTCCAGGAGTCTCTGGGAGTTGAGCCTCCGCCAAAGCGGCGAGAGCCACAACAAGACCGACCAGACGCATAACGAGTGATTGTCTAGGTCTCAAAAGAAAAAGAATGACTTAGTTAGTGTATAACGAATGAAGGAACTCAGTACGAGTATGTTGGGCTAGACCTAGGCGACAGACTGCAGACACAACAGATAGGTATATAATCCCGATACTAAATCAGGCTTACATCTTGCCCGAGGCTTAGAGGCTTGTAGCTTGTCCATTGGGGGCAAGGCGCTATGGCCAGCCTAATCTTGCTAGTCCCGCAGAGTGGACATGTAACTGAAACGGTTCAGAAGGATCGAATCCTAGTTACATTGTATGTTCATCGCCATGTTATGATATCGGCCCGTGCCGTTCCAAGCCACATCTCGTCGGGTCCCTTTTTCCGTCTGATAAGTGTTTCTTGGATCCTCGCTTACCCCTGCGGATCGCTTCCTTTTCGATGCGGAGCTGAACTTGTAAGGTTGCATTGATGACGTCGGACAGCCTTGTAAAGACCACTGAAGGATGCGCATGATTGATGATTCCCCAGTTTCAATCTCTTTCTTCTGCTTGACATGAATCGCTTTTTCGGACTTCGCTCTGCTTCGGGCATTTCCGTTTCCGTCCTTCGCTGTCACATTTGGACACGGCATCGAACAAGTCGTCTATCACTTCTTCAGCCTTACATCCTTGAATGCAAGACGGCGCATCCAATTAAGAAAGAGTCCACAATATATCAAAGCTTAAGTGTTAATTACAGCTTCCGTGGTAAAGTAGAAGCTCAACAGGAATTACTAGGTTGACTCAGGCTTCCACCGAACGACCAATTTCTCACCATCAGGTTTGGTCATCGTCGACTTCCACCAAAGCAAAGCAATGGTCAATAAACATGCTTAATCATGGAGATGCTGTTACGCGTCATGCCATCAATTGCCGTTGCAGCCCTTCGGCCCCCGTTCGTATAACTGGCCTATAAAATAACAGTCGAACCGAGCAAGTGGGCAGTGACACATTGAAAGTAGGACCCTTGAACCAACATATGCTCCATTCGTGAAAGATCTCCATAGCTGAGCGCCCTACTGGGCCAAACATGTTACAACGCTCGATCCTTCGGGGGCCGTGACATTCTCAGCCTTGCAATGGTGGCTGACTGTCACATCAAACGAATCCTTCACGCTTATCTATGGATCGCAATCTAACCATCCCTTTCATGGCAAAGCTTCTGGCATCGTGAATATTCGAGGATATGTAAGGACACGAGATTAGGATGAACATCTATAAGCGCCGAGTGCTACCTTGAGCCAACAAAAGATCGTTTCCCCAACAGATATCCATAATATACAATAAGCAAATGCAACATTGATCCAGTTTTAGGAACGTGCATAGGATCCTCGTCAATCACTCTGCATCGCCTTTCGGAACTCCCCGTCTATTTTGATCCGACGACAAGCTGCTAATGTCTAACGGGTAAGACGGAAAGGCCAAGTTCTTCGGAGTTTTCATGTCTTGGCTGACGATCTCAACTTTATCCCGCCCCCAAGTCCCATCGCGCACAGGCAGATCATGCCAAGAATGAACAACGAACCCGCTTTTCCACGATCCTTTCTATGGAGCTCGTGTACTGTAATTTCGTCCTGATTCAAGCCTTGATGGCTGATGCTCGGAGATTCCCGTGTTGCATTACTCTGGTTATCTTACACTGATATCCCTTCTCTATTCAGCATATATGTAGGACAAAGACTCTGAAGTTGGTCATCTCATTGCATCAAACAATACAGTCTTTCTTCAACCCTCTCGTTTTATACACTCGTTTAAACCGTCACTCTTTTAGAACTATCCTATCCTGCTCATCACCATGTTGGGCTCCAAGAGTTTCCAGAGCGGTTGGGCCAAGCTGTTGGCCTCACTGTTCTTTCTTCTTGCTGCTTCTCAGCTCTGCATCGCTGCACCTTACACCAACCAGTGAGTCCTTTACCTACAGACACCTTTCAATAAAGCTAATGCCCCAAGGCTTGCTGTTCGCGATGATCACCAGATCTACGCCAGAGTCAAAACCCCTGAGCTAGAAGCCTACGAGAGCAAGCTCGACGACAGCAAGAAAGCTGGAACATACGTGAACCAAGATGATACCCAGTTTGTAGACTTCACTGCTGCTGGCAATCACGTTGTTGGAAGCTCATCCTTCGCTGGCTGCTTCGGTGTCATCCTTGCGACCAAGCAAGGTGCCATTGTCGCCCATTACAATCTTGACCAGAATGGCTTGGACACAGCCAAGGAGAAGATCACAAATTTCTACAGCGAGCACAACGACAAGGTTGGAGGTGCTGATGCCCATCTCTACTCTGCCATAACCTATGAGACTGGGGCGCTGGTTGAAGAAAATCTGTACAACGAGTACAAGAAGTTTCTCACGGATCTTGTTGGAAAGCCGCCCCAGGATCATCACTACACTGAGGCTCTTGAGACTGTTTCCGAGGCCGATCTTGACGCGGACAACTGGGATCCGGAAGCAGTGAGCGGTGGTTTCGTTGTAGAGAACTCTGGTGGCGGCGAGGCTGACACCACTATCTTCTTCATCACCATTGAGAAACAGCGTGTCAGTGCCCAGGGGCCTGGAAAGTGATGGCAGCCACGTTTAGTGGTCACCTGGGTCTCAGATTCCGGGCGCTTATGATATGGACCTTCATTCTTGCACCTGTCTAGCATGTCAAATAGATTCTGTGGCAACTTCACCTCAATCAATCTACCATTCTATATACACATGTCTCATATCATTGTGACCTCATTGCTTACCATCTAAAGTCTTGTTTATCGTGCAGCAATCTCATGCCGTGATTTAGATAGATCTGGACAGAACTCGGACCAAAGTAGACCCTAGAAAGATAAAGGATGAAATAAACTTAAGCTAGCCGATGATGAATGTGCCAAAAGAATATACCATTATGAGACATGTCGGCCATTTGAGACTACTACTTTCGTCGTTGAATACCCAAACATTCAAGGAAAGGACCATCATGACAAGCCACCAGGTATGCTTGCTCCGTTTTAGACTCATTGATATGCTTAACCTTGCACCAAGAGGGCACAGCAAAGGTATCGCGTGCCTCCCATGTGAACGTCATCGTCTCCCCCGCCGGCGTCACAAGCTCAGTGCGACCCTTTCCTTCATAGCAGTGATAAAGATAGGACTGGCTCTCTTGTGACTCTACCGTGGCACCAGGGCTCAGTCTCTCGGCCTGAACGCCGAGGAATGTTGATAAAGGCTTCCCATTTGAGAGCTTATAGTGATAGATGGAGTATTCGCTCTTGTCAACATTGAGTTCCTTCTCAACGGGAGCCCATGGGAAACGGAACTCGCAAGGGTCGCAATGTCTGACAGCGTTAGCAAGGGCATCTTAGTTGTGCATGGTGGAAAGATACTCACTCGCTGGGATAGCGAGGGTCAGAGTAGCCCTCGGCAAAGTGAACTGGAGCAAAGCGGAATAGAGGTAGGTTCAGCATATCTAACCAGACGACTGGCCTATCACTCTCGTTGCCATGGTCATGCCAGTGCCAAATCGGCGTGATGACAACATCGCCTCTGACGAGGGGCATCTTCTTGCCCTCAACCGCTGTGAAACCTTCACCATCGATGATGAAGCGAGCTGCGAAGGCAAGATGTCTGTGTGCTGGCGCTGTTTCGCCAGGATTGACGATTTGAAGACCTCCATAAATAGTATCTGTTGTGTATGGTGATTCTAGAAAAGTCAGTCAAATGAGTTCAGTAACATGGCTGATATGATATACTCACGCATGCTAGGGTTCACAAGCATCAAGACTCGCCGCTCTGCTTTCTCTTCTGGCACCAACTTAGCGGCTGTCTCCAAATGAGGCAAGGCCTCACTGTATGTCCACATGTGAGGTTTCGCTGTGGGGTTTGGTGTCGGTGGCACCATCATGTTCATCTGTGACCAAAGAGGCCCCAAGTTCTTGGATGGTAGTTCGCTGATATACTGCTTCATCTCTGGCGAGTCGCCGTCCGAGGCGCCCGAAGCCACTGTGCTAGTATAATTCCCCATTATTTCTGTGGTCTCTCCAAGAGCCAAGATGATTATGATATTATTTTTGCTTTGTTTAGTGATTCGCAAGTGTCGTTGGAGTGTTCTGCAAATAAATAACGGATTGATGAATGGTCTCGGAGTGGACAACGATCGTAAGATCCCCAGACAAGAGAAAGCTGGGGAAGTAGTACCGATAGGCAACAGAATTGCTACAACGGTCACATTGAACCGCGTTTAATCAATCATCCACAACAGCCGAAGTCAATATCCGTCTTCCGGGTTCACTCCGGTGGGATCCGGGCTCTGATCTTCCGGCCGGACCGCGCTATGAGTGGTCACAATAGTGGATCTCACCACCAACACTCTCCGACAATCATCACGCCTTTCAGAAACAACTATAACAGGTAGTATACAACCTTGAAGATAATGCAACGATGAGAATAGCCAGTATCGCAGCACCTTTGTATCGCAGAAATTTCACGTCTACATTCACCCGCAAAATGTCCTCAACAGCTTGGAACCGCCTCATCCGCTTTGTCGATGACAACGGAAATGAGACCTTTGGAGACCCTCTCATTGAGAATGACAAGGACTTTTCTGAGAAGTTAGCCAAGAATGACCTGTGGGCTATTGAGTACAAGGGTCAGAGTCCTGTGGCGCAACTCACCAAGGGTGACAAGGTACATGTCAAGGCTGTAAAGGAGCTGCTGCGACCGGCTGATGTGCCTATCGTCCGATGCATTGGCCTTAACTACATCAAGCACAGTAAGTGACGAAGCACACACTGACTGAAACTATACTGAATTGACCGATTAGTCAAGGAAGGTGGCCGAACACCGCCGCCTTATCCCTCATTGTTCATCAAGCCCTCTACCTCCATTGCTGGCTTCAATGAGGATGTCCCCATTCCTAAGATCGCCCAAGATGGCACAATAGACTACGAGGGAGAGCTGGTAAGTATTCCATCTATCTTGTTGCCGGAAAACTGCCTAACATCAAAATGCAGGG